CCACCTCCGCTCATCACTCACATGGTTTTAGCATGGCCCTTACAAGTATGACTACTTTCAGCCCAAGGAGTGGTATATTAGCTTAATTTAAATTCAAAAATAGAAGGAGAAGAAAATTTGGTGAAAAGTCCAAAAATGGCGTGTACGCACTAGGTGTTGTATTTGTATGATTGGCTGCAAAAAGCGACAATTTCTAGGTTCCAAAATAGTGGAAAGTGAAAACTTAGTCCCACTCTTCACTGTATGTAGCTTCATTCCTATGAAAGCGCTGTCAGAAACGAAGCCATTGTAATCTGCAATTTCAAGTGCAAGGAATTGAATTAATTCAAAAAATAATCGCGGCAGGACAACAAGAAATGCCGAATAATGACAATATCGAATGTAACTGTAGAGATCCGAAAAAGTTGCAGCGTTTTACCAGTAAGGTTACAATTTTCATATTTAGCGTGAAAGTTTTCTAGAATCTGTTTTCTGCCGTATTTTCTTGCGCTCCTTCAAATGTGTCTTAGAACTTGCACGTTGTATGTGGCATCTCAAGAAAGATCATACGCTCGCTGCCTCATGAGTCATATTGATGAAACTTGAATCGTAGTGTCGAATTGTTGAGGGAATAGTGGTGGAATGTTAACGATTCCGATAGGATAAACTTTTGTCAATGTATTGGTAGAGCACTATATCTATGGACATGCGTACACTGTATACGCATGTCCATAGATAACATTTGAATCGAATCTAGCTCACAGACAAAACTTCAGCCACAGCCTCATGAAAGGGGATCATAGTTGAAAAGCAGTTTAGTTACAGTACATATTGCTGCAGTGAAGATGTTGCAGGAAGAAGCTGTCCGCCAAGAAGAGCAAAGGAGACAGGAAGAAATGAGAAGACAAGAAGAGCAAAGAAGATATGATGAACAAAGAAGGCATGAAGAACTGAGAAGACATGAAGAATCGAGAAGACAGGAGGAAATGAGAAGACAGGAAGAAATGAGAAGACAAGAAGAAATGAGAAGGCAACAAGAAGAGTATCACAGACGTGCCTCACAAACACAAACCTCCGGTTATCGAACTGCTGGTAGTTCTCCCGGCGTAGCCGATTACAGGGATCAGGTTAGCAATACTTGGTTCATGAAATTATTGTATTCCCATGTATTCATGAAATAGTTTCGGAGCTAAAATTGTTAAGAGGGATAAATGTAGAGTAAAACTAATAATTCGGATCTGCAAGAATTACTACCCACGACCTGTAAGTTATCTTTAAACCGGCACGGGACACTCTTAACGCAGCAGTGGCCTACTGAGCGGGTTTGTTTGTCTGTTCGACAGGAGAAAGCGCTAAAACTTCTGGGATACCCAGAGAGTTGGACGTGAAAATTGATGATGGGTACTGGAAGTGATTCCCACTGATAGTGATGACGGACGTCGTAATACCGACGTCACCAACTTCGTTACGCACTTTGCGTTGATACTGTAGAGATTGCACTTTTAAAAATTATGTGGTGTGGGAAGGGGACTCAAATAGAGAGCAATAGAAGGTGATAGCAAGTGACAACAGCAGAGAAAGTGGGCCGGAATGCCGCCACAAGTTTCGTCACGCCCTTCGCAAGACAGTAACATGTTTTTGCTGACACTTTTACAGACATTAGCTCCTACATATGGTATAGGATCGGACGGGAACACGGATGGCAGGTGATTAGAAGTGATAATAGTGCATAATGGCTAAGGAAGTTTACAATTTGAGCATCAATCAACCGTCAATTTCTTTGTTGTCTTCGCGGTGACATATCTTACATGCTGCATAGGGGTCAGACGTATTGGTGGTGAGCAGTGTGAACTGAGAACAAGTGATGAGGACTTATAATTGGCATATGAATGGAATGTCATTTAATTGGCATTGAATGGAATGTCTCCATCCTTCGTTGGAATCACTCCTGGCAGAGACCAGCGGCGGGGGTGTTGATGGGAGTGACAGAAGTGTCTAATTCGTCTGCGAATGTATTGATAAAAGTGATTTACAATTGCGTGTGCACTCAGACGAACTAAACTAGGTGCTCAGCAAGGGATCGTGTTCTATTTATAATCCTTCACCATGACAATAGAAAGTTATATGCCTATCCGCACTTGAGCTTAAAGGAGGAATTCACGATTAGAATGGAGGTCGAGGAAGAAGTAATTTACCTAGTTGAGTAACCCACGGACCTCCTGAGGGTGCGAACTGATGCGCAATTCGCATCGAAAAATTTGACCTCGGCGACCTATTATGCCTCAAAGTTGGCGGGTCTGGCGATCTCCGCCCACCGACCAGCTGATCACTCGCCGCAGATCTATACGTGGGATTGATTAGATAGCAGAGAGAGCGTGATGTTGAGGAGGGCACAGCGATGATAGAGTCGCATCATGCTCAAATCAACGGGCAAGGAAGGGGTCCATTTCTCGGGTTCTGGGCCGTTCTCATGGTTCTTCTTCTTTAGTGTACCACTGATCATCCCTATAATTTGAAACGGGTTGCCTTTCCAGCGTGAAATTCGTCCTTTAAGGTGAATTCCCATCAATGTTTGGCATTAGATGCTCATTGTGATTGGTCACATTTCATTCCTACAGCAATGAAAATAGCGAAAAATACCAACCGCCAAATTAACCGAGTTTTATATCAGCTGAAATGGTTGTTTTTTTTGTTGGAAAAGGTAGGAGAAGTACAGCCATGCGCACTCGACTGCGCGCGGCTACGCGAATTGCAGATGAAGTGGGGCAAACATTGGACTCAGTTCAACGCATTTTTTTAAAGCATTTTACTAATGGTTTCTCAGTCAAGTTCTATAGGTTGTCCAGGTCCACCGAAGCCTACCATGTGATGCACATGGTTGCGTCGCTAGAGCTTAACTGGTTGATACATGAAAACACATCTGCACTGTCTGGATGTAGATATCTTATCTGATTGGTCGAAAATACTGATCCTTGAACATGGGTCTTTCCTACCAGTCAAGCGCGAACGATCCTGTTCTGATGAGCGATATAGACCTCAGTAAAGCAACAGTTGATCATTGCCGTTTTCATTAGTTGCTAACGCTTTTAAGTTGAGATCATTTGTGATTAAATTTACATTTGCTTGACACTATTATCACATGAATTTTCAGCATGTGCAGCACCAGTGGCATCAGGGTGAGCCAACGCCAGAACAATACGCGGAGTTCAGAAGTTCAACTGCACACAGCTCACACAGTGCGCACACAGCTCTTCGTTACAGTCCGGCTATCAATACAGCTCCCCGGCTGCAGGCCGTCGTTCTGGATATCAGAGACCAAAAACAGTCCAGCGCGCTCATGGAGAGCGAATTTATCGGTAGATCCATTGAAATTACCTGACATAGCTTCAAGCAAACTTGGTGTATCACTACGAACGCCTTTCATTTCTAACAGAGTTTGGAAGTTAAACGTGTTGCTCATGAATAAAACCTTTGAGAATTTTACCTACATAGGGTTTCGATTCATTAAGCGTTCACTCAGCGCAAAAGATCACAAATTATCAACAACTTAGACATTAGAAAGGAATAGAATCAACACAACTTCTGGAATGGAATGTAATTGCTTGGTTATAATAAAGCCTTGAGAAAATGAAAATTCAAAGAAAAAATATTTGAGAGCCCAATAGGCTGCCATAACACAAACATGATTCTTACTGCGTTTCTTAGTTGAGTCAAAAGCAAATCCAGTAGTCGTGGGCGTTTGTGTAGCTTGACCCGGACTTTTCATATGTGAGAATTTCTTATTGAAATTTCTCATAATACGTGATCTCGGCTACATTTCAACAGTTACGAATACCTGGATGGAGCCATTCACCTCAAAGTTAGGAGGGTGGAGCTAGCACAAGAGGTGAACCACACGCAAAGTTTAGAAAAGTGATCGAAAATCGGGAAAAAAGTAGGGTAAGTGACAGCCGTCATACACAATTCCGCAGTTTCACACACTTTCATGAGTAGCTGTTCTAGAACTCAATGAACAAAAATCAAAATGATTAAAAGAAAAGGTGGAACGATGATCAGTCAGTACAAAATTCCTAAACCATTTGCTTCGGTAACTGCGAAACTGCAGGCCACTCAATTGGTACTTAACAACAATCAGCTGCTATAGAGTTATTGCACTGTTCTCAACAATAAAGTCTGAGAATTAGGATATCATGTGTCCGATTCAATTTTTCAAATTTATATTCACAATTATCAAGCATGCCAAAATGTCCATTTGGGCAATTTTTATTGTATTATATGGCCTTCATTATGTCATGAATAAATTGAAAAACATTTGGCCAGTCCGTTTGTCAGAATATAAGATGCATCCAAAGCGCGTAATTACTAAGCTATACGCCTTAGAATGGCCACCTGCCAGCACAAACTATGAATTGTTCCACGCAAAAATCAAGGGAGAAGTGATATTCAAGAGTGTAGGTTGCAAAAAAGTAGCCCCTAGCGACGTATTCCTTATATCTGATGCGACAAGTTAATGGCTTCTTTTTATATGGCATAGCATATTGGAGAACATTCTAGAAGCATCTATGTAGTGTTGAAGCAAAATACCACTAAGAGTACCGGAATCAAACCTAGAATGGAAAGTTAAGACTTATAAATCTCACTAGATAGCTATTAATTTTGCTGGTGTTCGAATTGTGATGCTCCAAAAACAAAATTAGGCGTGCTTCAGATGAGGTGAATAGCAGTATATTTTTCGTAGCAAGGCCGATGGATTACACAATAAGTGAGTCACACTAAAGACTTGCACCGAAATTTTAGCGGCCGGAACCAACCAAGCTCAAAACTTCACATAGACATCTTTGTCTGCTCAAAAAATTATGCACTCGAAATATGACTGTCGTAGTGCTTTGGTAGTATGGCACTGCGTCGGATTTTGTCATATTGAAAGTTCCATAGAGAATAGCTCCCAAAATGACATTTAACAGCACTTACGACACGGCGTCTATCCAAAGGCGTCATCCCAATGGAACAATAACTGTAAATCGGCAAGTTATATTCTACACTGGAAGCCATCCTCCCAGGATGGATTTCATACAGGTATTTAGAACGAGAGCAGTCGTGTGTCTTTGTCGATTCAAGATTGGATAAACTGTCAATGATTTCTATTTCCAGCAGCTTCTGGGCTACTCGATTTTAGTCGTGCGCAATTTGTTGCCTCAAAACTCTCCCCAGCTCCTCAAACAAACGACAAGCGCCTCGCTTTTCGCGGCGAGTGCTGAATCAGCTTATCCGAACTAAAGACAAATTACGCGAGGAGAATACGTCCTCAAACAACTCCAAACATATCCTCTGTGGGTGACTCGAAAACCGAGGACAGGCACCTTGTTGAATGGAGGGGTGGTTCGCTGCCTACAGTAGTTGTTCCATTAAGGGACAATCATCAAGAGCTAGCACAATCTAGACAACACCAGACGGAATGGCGCGACCAGCCTAATCCAAAACGTCAAAACAGTCTCAGTAATGCGGAAACCGCTAGATCCACGGAAGGTCGATTCATTGTCACGTATTCCCCTAGTGCTCCGCCGAGAAGTGCTAGTCATGAAATCATACAGGCCACAGAGCCTCCGCTCGCCGCAGTAATTGGCAGGGTAACCCTACCATACGCCCTCGAGATAATCCTACTCCTCCCTCAGTAATTCCTCGCCGCCCGTCACCCACCGACATCTATGCTCGCCCTACAGATGATGGTCAGCGCCCGGCTGATGTCGCTGCTTCAACTGGAATCCAGAGAACTGCTGTCACTACAGCCATGCCCGCACAAGCACATCGACGGCAACCTGATCACGAGGATAATATCCGGTGAGATACATCATGTACGTGGATTTCATATAGGGTTTATAATGTCCATGCCTTTTTGACTTTACCTGAAGGGAATGCTCAAAAGTGGACTTCGATGAAGTAATGGCGATTGATTCCCAAGTTGAAGACGACTATGAGGAGCCTGTGGATGATCTGAGTGATAGCGACATGTACATCGGCTCTGTAGAGGTTTATCTTTTCTACATACATACACCGATTCATTACACTTTAGAGCCTGAGAAAAGCCTCCTCCTTCAGATCGAAGCCGATACAGAGCCGCCACCGTCAACGGCAAGACCTCCAGCTCGACCCACAGTTCCACAACCCAATGTTCGACCAATTGTACTCCCACCTGCCGAACATCCCCAATATTCTCACTACGAGAAGGATCCGGTGGAAGCACCACATGCCATGGCCGATTCAGGGACACGGCATCCTCAAGTGCGACCTGCTCTTAAACTTCAGGGTGAGCGACTATTCCTCCAACGTTTCTGATGCACTATATCTCCCACCTTCTCACTAGCTGAAGTTGAAAGGAAAAGCATTACTTATGCTATAGTTCCTAGTCTCATACTATTGTGGCTTTTTGGATAACAGAGCATTCGTGGTAGGCCTCATTATACCCAGTATGGCACCGCTTTTCCCAGACCAGCATTGAACTTCAGAGTAGTTCATCTTATTCTGAACACTTCGCTGAGTGTTGTCCATGTCCAAAAATCCATTTTTCTGTTCCGAACTTGGGAATATGATTTATGTTGCACAAAAATACTAGGTAATGAACAAAACTTTCGCCTTAGGCGGAACCGGAAGCTCCTGCTTACCGGGCAACTGTGCTAGCAGGGCATCCTTTCTGCCCTAACTCACCTTTCGCGATATATTTACCATAGTTGATCACATTCGCACTCTTAAGGTGATGAGCTGGTTTAGCTGACATCGGCAGTCAGACACCGCAAACAATATATACCATTTCCCGCAAATCTGATGCTCGTTGAGTTCAGACCACACGACACGAAGGACGACGCCTTCAAAAAACGTAAATGTCGGGTCTGTTGTCCGACGGGGGGACATTTCCTGCTAACGAACGAAACTGTGTCAGAACAGGTGACGTTTGCCAAAACTTTTAGGCAGCTAACAAGACGATACATGTCAACTGCTGTAAGGTCTGTTAATCCTTTTAAGAGAATGGTAGATAACAAAACGAAACCCAAAACTGTAAATCAGCATTAGTGTGTAGCGGAAGCTTATTTCTAAGCTACTTTCTTTTTCTAAGACTTTTTTTGTTTTTTTTGTTTTTATTATTGTCTGGATTCTTTAGCACTGTTGACTGCCTGGAAATTCAAGCATAGCAATAACTTTTGATTGTGCTTTTGCTACAGCAGCCCAAACCACTATGTAGTATACTTTACTTTATTACTCCAAGAAACGCGCCTGAATTGTTTTTGTTACATTAACTGCCTAATATTTTCAGCATAGGTGACACATTTGGACAAGTTTTCCTATGTTAACAGCATCACGAACATCTGTAACAGCATCAGCATTAACTAATTGCAACTACTTATTAAGAACTATCAGCTATCACTAGGAACCACCTTACCCGTTTTTCTTGGAGGCGTCGTCACTTGTGGTGTGCGGTCTGCACTCGAGGCGCACATGTTTCCCGAAAGAAGAGGGCGAATCGTTTTTGAACCCGAAATGCGTAGAAGGACTGAGTAGAAAACGAACCCAGTAGGAACAAAGGAATGTGATACTAATAGATATGAATGAGGTGACGGCGTCTTAGTGGTAGTGGATACCCAATGCAGAAGCAACCCGTACATACTCATATTAAAGGATAAGAATTTCTTATGTTATCCAATGTGACCCAGGTTTGTGATATCCATGATCCAGCGTCAGAGATTGAGTAGGAGAGTGTTCAAGATGAAGTACACATTTCAGATGAAGTTTCAAAAATTATAGGTTGCTGAAGAAAATGCAGCGGTTGATGAAGCACAGTGATTTAAATGATGATCTTATCTATACTTATCACTTTGCTCTCACGAAAAACATATGTAGCCGACAACTGTCGAACGCGAAGATGACATTCACTAGTTATTTGAGAGAATAGTGAACTGTGGCCGAAATTATAGCCCCTTCTGGCATTTCTTTCACCGTTACAAAGGCATCGATGACACTTACACTTAGACTGCGACCGCTTGTGGGTATTATATTTAGCTTGAACTATGGACTGAGGAACAGCGTGTCCAAGAGGATCAGTGCAAGTGTAAAGTATTCAAAAAAGCGCACCTCGTAGCAACTAGAAAAATTCTTGAAAAACAAAAAGAAACGTATCGAGAAAGCAGAATGTGGACTCAACGCTGCTGTTTTCAGAAACAACCACCACAGAAGGGCCTGTTGCAAGGGATTATTCTGAGGAAGTCGGTGGGTTCTTTGAACTGCTTGTTCACTTTGGTTTTACAAGACGATGTTGGTCGTTTCTCTGTTAACAATTCCACGAATAGACGAAAGGCGTTTCTAGTCATGTGTACTGTAGCCTCTTATTAATGAGCAAAGTTGATTTTGATGATTCAAGACGAGTACAGCTCAGTAGTAGGTGAATTCAAAAATTCTGGCATTACCTATCATTCCACTCTATCATTCATCACTTTTCATCTGCTCCTTTTTTGAGGAACCTCAGTAGGCAGACAAATGCAAACAAGCGAGAAAAATGCCCATTTTGAACACGCGCACTGGCGCATGACGCGTACTTGACGCGCGCTCGGCGCCTTTCGACCAATCAATTCTAATTTTATTATTCAGAAGTTCTAGGTGCCGTGCTGCTCCCACTCTGGCTTCATATTTTTGTATATTGTATGAATTATTGTTTCTGCGCACTAGAACTTACATAGAGGCTTACTGCCGCTTTCAAAGGTCTGCATGACGCTGACCACTCAAAAGAAAGATCGAAAAACAATGATTCATAGAAAAAAGAAAACGTTCGTCGCTATAAGAAAGCATGAGCGAAATCAACACCACATGTGGAACGCTGTAAACAATAGGGGATGTAATATAATCGAAATTATCGATCCACAGGCACCTACTCTGCGCTTACGCGTCATAAGACAGTGCGAAGGTCTTCGACCTAAGCCGTTTGGACAGAGCGAGCACCCGAAGTAAGTGTGAATTATAATGTTCTGCTGTAGTCGCGTACAATGCGCGACGCATTGACGCGCTGAAGCGTGTGCTCGCCTCCTACTTCTTCGTTTTCTTTGCGCTCTCTCAACGAGAGAGAATGCATCGAGCAAACTCGCCAACTATACTGAGCGCCGTTCATGTAGGAGGTGGAGGATGGCGCTCATGTCAAATTAGCCTTGCGGCACCCGGGGATGAACTTCCTTAAACTGCGTGCGAAGGGTGCGCAGCGTTCATCCTCGCGGCCGGCGCTCTCTCATTTTGGGTTGCTACCCTGGAGAGCAGAGGTAGCCTCATTGTTGGCGAAATCCGTAGGACCATCACTCCAGAAAGCGCGTCGATGGTGCGTCGACGTCGATGCGACGCGCATTGTACGTGACCACGGCAGAAACATCGTAATTTACGCTTACTTCGGGTGCTTACTCTTTCTAAACGGCTTATCTCAAGCTCTTCGCAGGTGCGCACAGACCGCACCGCAACTTACGCAACATCGCCAAGTATGAAAGCAGCGACGTCGGTCTCGCTATTTTCCGCAAAAACAGCCTATCTCTTCATTTTTGGCCCTTTGAGTTAAGCCTAGGAGGGTAAGGGACTTCAAGGAAAATGAAAACAGTTCACTCACTCCGGATTCTCTCCCTCCTCCTAGATGCGGACCTATCGATTCTTACCTCAGAGAACTTCGTTATGGCACTGCGTTACGTACGCTTACAGTACTTGAAAATCGCCGTACTCTTCCACACCTTGTTTTGCGCCCATTGACGAGATACGACTTTTGCAACAGTGGGAATAAAAGCGTCAGTTCTAGGAGGAATATTCGGTCATACCTCGAGGTTGCGGTTTGCCAGCAATAACTCGAAAGAATATCGCATGGGAAAACCACTAAGAACGGAAAGAACTAAAAAATGTGTTGTTCTGATAAAGAATTCGGAAAACTGGGGGAATTGTCACGCATTCAAGTTCAACCCGTACATCTGCCGTAAATGTTTCGACGGGAAAGCCTTCACGTGCTTCTTGGAGTGCCGTCACTGAAAACCCCTTTCGGTCTCTCCACCAAAACATTTCAGTCTTCCACTGCATCCTATTTTATCGCAT